CTATCATAAAAACGATAAAAACGGTCGTCCGCGTGGAGATCGTGATGGTGGTGGTGGTGCACCTTTCCAAAATTTGTTGACTAAAAAAAAAAAGGTCATCAAGTTTTCGAAATTCCAAATGGATCGTACACCACGAATTTTGGATCGTACAGGACCTCAAATTATCGTACGCGTACGATAATTATCGTACGAATGGGATCGCTGCGGCTATTCTTTAAGTACGCAGCAACCATATTGAATTAAATGCGCGGGAAATTCAAATGTTATCAAAAGAATAATCGATAGAAAAATAAAAAACATTTTCACTTTATTATATGAATAAGCTATTATAATAATAAATCTATACTTTAATTCAGCCTATTTTCGGATAATAATTTTGTTTGAATAGCATTCAATACAAATACAGGTATAGATTTTGTTATATCAGATGATCGAAAAATCAATCGACATGAATAACAAAGATGTTTTAATATATCATCTAAGCAGAGGGATTGTGTCATATATTTTTTACATTCTTTGTTATTACAGGTACATTGTTTTTCATTAATAATATTACTATCAGTATGCTTATTCTGATTATTCTTTTTAGAATGACTAACCTGTTCTTCCTCCTCTAGTTTAACATTAAGTAAATTGTTAGTCTTTTCTTTAGTATTGTTAATATCTACGTTATCTGATGATAAAAAAGCAGAAAATGATGTTGCTTGTAAAGCTGACATTTCATCATTTGTCACTTTTGTATCTAAAGGTATATTACAAAGAGCGCATAAAGAGTTTACTTCTACACTTTGACATGCAAGTAATTCTGTCAATAGTTTTCCACCAGTGCGATAAACTGTAGACACAGTTCCATGAAATTGTGAATCTAATTGAGATATAAATTTATTTGTTAAAGCTTGTATGGAAGTTAACGTACTAGTTTTACTTTTCTTACTAGATCGTAAAGCGTTTAAATTGTTACAATTTAAATAATGAATTATTTCTTCTCTTGTAAAATCTCTCATAGGTCTAAGAAGCATAACATCCAAATATCTTGTATCAGAAAAATCAATATCAGGAGAAAGTTGAGCACCACGACCAAGTGATATGTCACTTAATATATTAATAGCAATATTTGTTGCGCCATCGGCAACAAATATTTTATTGCATTTTAATTTTCTTGCCGCTAAGATAAGAAGTCTATGACGTAACCGTCGTAATAATTCTTCTTTTGCACTATCATCAGCTAAACTATTAAGAATATTTAGTATAACTTCATTTTCATCTATTACAACTTCTGGAGTATCCATCGGATAAATATTTGGAATACCATTTTCGCATAAAGATTCTTCTAATGATGCAGTATATCCAACAAATCCAAACGTTTTCGTTTGTTCAGTTATTGTCTCTAACAGCTGTTTTCTTTCATTTACTGTATATCCTTCTACACTACCATCTGCGAATAGTGACAAAAACATTTTTTATCCGTACAAATTTTTTACTAAAATTCAATAGCATAATAACTAAAAGAATGTTACCGTCTATAAAAAATATGACTACATTAAATATAATCTTTTTGTTAGCTACTTCATTTAAACCAGATTTTATTAAATGTAGTAAAGCGGTTGAATTTTCTCTGCCGCAATATCCAACAAGTACGGTATCTCCTCGATGAATAATTTTGGATTTACCCAAGGCAGCTCTAAACTTGTGTGTTAAATTTATTAAAAAACAACCTTTGCAATATCCATCTTTTTTTCTTAATATTATTTCAGGCTTGTCAATTCGGCATTTTTTGCACAGTTCAGAATCTCTATGAAGTATAATCAAATGTTTTGTTACTTGGTGGTCATGAATTGTACAGAATTAACAATATAAAAATTACTTACAATATTTGTACTTCATCAAATTTAGTAGTGAAATCGTCATTAAAATCGCATGAACAAGTATTTAACGAACACATTTTTTTTTTTTAAATGTTTAATAATAATAGTCTTGACAAAGAATGCATAAGTGCACAGAAGATCACAAGTACACTTCTTTCCTAACCTCATTCATTTTAGTTACTAATTTGATCACTAGTAAGCGACAATAGATATTTAACACGATGCCAGAATAAATTACCAAAGAATATAGAATTCTTTAATAGTTTTGGTAGTATTATATTGTATAATAGAATTTTAAATAATTAATGACACATTATATATGAACAGCTGGATGATCATTGTTAATTTTAATTTATTAAATATACTAAGTTATAAATTCTCTTGTATTCAAAGTGACAGTGTAACAAACTGTTCTGTATGCTCTTAATGTAATTCAGAATAAACAAAACTATGGGTTTTCTTAGTATTTTACCTGTATTTTCAAGGTATTTTATAATTTCATCTTTTAATTAAAATATTTTAAAAACGAATTAGCTATAACATATAAATATATATTTCAAATAAAAATGAATGAGGTTAGTTTGTATATTAAATATAATTGTATTAGTATTTAGAATATAAATGGAATTATATAAAGTATCATACTAATAATATATCAATAGATAATTTATGAAATGAATTTCATTGTTTTAGATTATCAAAACATACTACCACATGTATGCGTAACATATCTACTTATGGTTATCCGTTGCAGTTTGGTATAACTAATACGCTCCTGTATGTATTTTCATAGTATTAGTTAAATATAATCTATAATATTATATGACAGGAAATAAGTTATTAAATTTTAAATAATCAATTATTTTTTGTACGAAGTGCGGAACCATTGAAAAAAAAGAAGAGGTTAGATCCGGCTATACTCAGGGAAAGAGAAGAAAGAAAGAAAAGGAAGTTAGAAAAATTTATTCGTCGTTTAGAAAAACATTCTAAACAATTAAAACCTATTGGTGAATTGGAGATACCATTAAATTTAAAAATTGAGAAAGAGTAATATCACAAATTTATTGATTATTGTCAATCTATTGTATATGTAGAAATATATATTCAAAAATTTAATATTTTTCCTCTATAGGAAAAGGACACGGGAGCTTCCACATTTATCCGAAGAGGATGTAGAGAAAAGAATTTTGTTACAAAAAGAATGGGCTAGATATAAATATAGACAGTACTTAGATAATATTCAGACGATTGACAGATTCATTTCATCCCAGAACAAAGCGCTACAAGAGTTAAAAGCTGAATCAGAAGAATTATACAACGAAGCGTTACAGGTATGCATTTAAACTTATCGCATTAAATCATATCGGTCATTGTTTTCAATTACAAAATATGCATTTTTATTACTTCAGATTGATCTTACCTTTTTACCATATTTAAATCGAGGACCTTGCCATACACCACCGATAAAAAATTATGATAGTCCAGATGGAGAATATAAAGATATAACATTTAAATATCCTGGTGAAACGTAGCTAAATGATGAATGAAATGTTCATTAAAATATCTCTGTATAGATTGGGTATAAATTAATGTACTTTTAAATATATATATATATATTTCATATGTAGTATTTATATGTGCGCCTTCAGAAATGCATTTATACATATATCAAATGAAGGAGAATCAAAGAGGGTTGTTGTTAAATCCAACGAAGATCACCTGTAACAAAAATAAAACTATATTAATCATATAATCAAGTGATATGAAGTAGCCTAACATATAAATCGTCCAATTCGTAGATACACTTTTCAATTGAATTCTCCATTTACTTTTTATCAAATCTCTATCTACTATAGCAATAAATTTAAATTTAAACGCGTAATTTTACATTTACAAAAAATAAAAAAAAAATAAAAAAATAAAAGTACAAATATTAAGTTACTAGAGACAATAATATAGCTATTGATTATTATAGAATACTTTTAAACAACGTTATATACAAAAGAAAAATTGCAAAATTAATAATATACGATCATAGTGAAAAATATTAAAGATGGAACAAGATAAAAGAAATTACTGTAACATTTACAAAAAGTTAATTAAGCTTCAAAATTTAATAATATGAAAATTTTAATATTTATGACTCTAATTAACTAAACAAATACGCATCTTTTTGACGATTAGACACGAGCTTGGTGTCCCAAGGAGATGGAATGGTTCATCATCTTCAATTATAACTACAAATTAATGACGAGAAAAAAAGTAAAACAATAAAATATAAATTATAACTAGAGAGCCATTCTCTAAAGGTTCAAACTTGTTGTTGAACCTTTGAAAATAATTCAATAGCCTATAGTTACCCTCTTCAGCCACAATTAAGTGGGTGCCTCTTCGGCATTAAGCCTTTTCTTTCTTTATTCCATGAAAACTGCATTTGGACATTTCCTACGTGCGAGCAAGATAAGATCTCTCATACTAACTTTGCAAATGAACTCGTATTTTGTTATGATTCTAATTCTCGTTCACTTTTTTATCTCGTGGACCATCAATGAACTTGGAGTTCATTGACCGTACATGAGAACATTTAATCGAATGTCCAAGCAGATAATAATTTCTCTCGATGACTTAATAACACTTCGCACTATTAACGTCGAGTAGTAAAATCGAATTGAAATAAATAGTGCTATAAGTGTAATGCATTTTCTTGCAAT